AAGCAGAGAATGTGGGGTGTGGGGGGGTACGTGATATGATACATGGTCTTGAAGGAGCCTGAAAACTCACCTCCCTCAGCTACCTGAGCACCCAGAAACTATAGCTGGTGATACATTAGGAGTCCTCCAAAGAAAGTGGCAAGCAGTCCCTGGGAAGAGGTCAGCCCAGGCCAAGACAGGCTGCTACGTATCTGCCTATGTCCCCAGAGAATTTTCCCCTGAATAGTGAATAGTGAGTAGAGCTGGTGCACCCAGCGTCTGGGGCAGTCAAGAGTTCATATCCTTGGGGGCTGGCGCTGTGGTGCAGTGGGTTAAAGCCCCAGCCTGCAGTGCTGGCATCCCATATGGGCGCTGGTTTGAGTCCCAGCTGCTCCACTTCTGATCCAGCTCTCTGCTATGGCCTGGGAAAGCAGTGGAGGATGGCCCAAGTCCTTGGGCCCCTGCACCCACAGGGGAGACCCAGAAGAAGCTCCTGGCTCCTGGCTTCGGATCGGCCCAGCTCTGGATGGAGGACCTCCCTCTCCACCCCCCACTCTCGCTCTACCTCTCTCTGTAATTCTCCTTCAAATAAATCTTAAAAAAAAAAAAAAAAAAAAAGGAAGGAAGAAAGAAAGAAAGAAAGAAAAAGATGCTACTTAAGATCCTATATCAGAGAATCTGGGTTTGCACCCCAGTTCTGCTTCTGATTCCAGCTTCCTGCTAATGAGCACCCTGAGAGGTAACAGACAAAAGCTCAAGTACCTGGGTCCCTGCCACCCACATGGGAGACCTGCATTGTGTTCCAGGCTCTTGGCTTCTATCTGGCCCAGCCTTGGCTGTAGTGGGCATTTTGGAAGTGAATCAGTTGATGGACGATCATTCTTCTTTTCAAATAATTAAAAAAAAAAAAAAAAAGAGTTCATGCCTGGGTAGAAAGGTGGGCAGGTGCCAGTCATTGAAATGGGCTGTTAGGAGTAGGCCCGTGGGAGCCCAGGCCCTACCCAGTGGGCACCAGGCTACTCCTTGAGGAGAACACAAGGGCATGGGGCCCTGGAGTAAAGGAATTTGCGTTTTTCTCTGATTGGCCAACACGGGGGGAGGTGAGCACTCGCTGCAGCCCAGACTGCGCTGTTCCGTCATCTGGAGTAAGCACCACAGTTCCTTTAACCATGAACCGGGTAGCAGCGAAATAAATTACAGGTCCATCGGGAGGGCGGCTGGGGACGGGACGGAAGGTGAAATGGCAAGGACTCCCATTTCTCATGCCCCAAGTGCAATGCTCAGTGCAAACCAAGCAGAAAGAGACTAAAACAAACCCCTGGGGAGGAGGAAAGAACATACAGTAAGCAGTGACCGGGTTAGCGCGCCCTCCTGTGTGAACGCCAGGGTCAGAACAGCGTGTCATGTTGGATTAGAAAGAACATGGGATCTGGACTTTGCTCTGGGTTTGGCTCTGGACTTCACCACCTGTGGGCTGCATGACCTTGTGTAAGTGACTTGAACCTTTTGGCCTTTTCCTATTCAACCCTGTGGTGAGATGGTGCAATCCAGAGCCTGTGCCAGCAATCGGTCATGTGCGGTGAGCCAGTGGGGACAGCCCACGAGCGGGAGCTGCAAGGAGTCTAACAGGGTGGGCTCCCCTGTTAGTGGGCAAAATGTTCATGTCAAAGGCAGGAGTCCTTTGGAGTCAGCTGTGGCCGCAGTGGTTGGAATGTGCCACTGCTCTCAACCCCGGCTGTATCCAGAGCGAAAAGGATGCTTTGCTACCACCCCCTAAAACCCTGGGGTCCAGGGCTCCTGAGTATGATGAGAGAGAAAGGCGCATCTCCACTTGACATTGCACAGGGCAGCTTGGCCAGAGGAAGAAGGCAGAGCAGGGAACACGGCAGTGCCTGGCACCTGGGCCTCACCCTGTTGGTGAGTGCACATAGGCCCCCACTTTAAGCACTCCCCAAAAGTACAGGGTGAGAGGCGCTCTGCTGCGAGCTGGGTTCTACGTGGGAAATGGCAGTAGCACGCCAGAATTCGGATTACGAGCCTGGATGTGAACTCATTCGCCCCACACCTGGTGTATGAGGGTTCTCCGGAGAAGCAGGACCAGTAAGAAATCTATTTTGGGATTTAGGATATTTGTTACGGGAATTGGCTCACAAGATGACGGAGTCTGGAGTCCCAGGAAAGCCCAGGGTGTTAGGGGAACTCACGAGGTAACTTGAGATGGGAAGAGGGAGGGTCTGTGCCGGTGTGAGTCCACAGGCCCAGGACCAGCAGCGGTTCTGATGTTGCTGGGTCCGAGGATGGGAGCAGACAGATGGCCCAGCCAGAGAGGAGGCAGCAAATCAGCCCTTCTTCATCTTTCTGCTGGACTGGAGCCCTCAGCAGATGGACTGATGCCCAGCCTGTTGGTAAGGGTGAGTGGGTTTTTCCTACTCAGTGCACTGACTCCAATGCTAACATCTCCCAGAAAGGCCTTCACACAACACACCCAGCAGTGATATTCTGAGCATCCCTTAGCCAGTCAAGGTGACCCAAAAAATCGTTCAGAGCCACCCTGTGGGGATCAAAGGAGATATTTCCAAGCATGAGGCTGGATATGGCAAAAGCACAGTAAGTGTCAGATTCCCCTGGAAACCACCCTAGAGGACTCACTGGACCCTTGGAGAAAGGCCAGGACATTCCCTGCTGTGTCTGGGCATTGACCTGCATGTCCACCCTGACACACATCTTGGAGCACTGACTATCTGCCAGGGGTCAGAGCTTTCCTTCCTCATCACTTTACAGTTTCCAAAACACTTCGGTGTGAATTGTACTCACATTATACAGAGCCCTATGCATGACGAGAAAATGGCATTTCCAGAGGTGTAGCCCTTTGTCCATACCCACCCCGCTAACAAGGGGTGCAGCTGGCCCCACACCTGGGCTCTTCCTAGGAAAGCTTGGTAGCACACTAGGGCAAAGCTACCGCAATGATGAGACAGGAAAACCCGCAAACACGCAACCTGTGGTTCTGACTCGATGTGCAGGCTTCTGTGGCTGGCCAGACAGACAGAAGCAGCCAGCGGGGCCTCGAGCCGGAGCCCACCAGACAGGGTGCTGCTGAGGAGGGCAGGTGGAGGGAGGCAGCTGGGCAGCGGGGGAAGGCAGGCTCCCCCACAGGGCCTTGCCTGGTGCCGGGAGCTAGCACCAACTGCCCACGTTTCACAGAGAATTTCTCTCCAAAGGAAACTGCCCAACTCACACACACACACACGCACACACACACACACACACACACCCTGGCTGTAGAAGTCAAAGCAGCGGCTGGACCACCCATCCACATCACCTCCTGTGACTTCAGCAGCTGCTGTCTCAGGGCTGCGGCCCAGCCATTTCTGCCCCTTCTTGAACAATTCCTTATGACATTCTCAAAGCATACCAAGCAGCTACTGAAAGCTGCCAACACTGGAACACTGGTTAGCCAGAAATGATCCTCATCTCACATTATAGGAAACAGTGCCAAAGGAAGGAAAAGACACGAGCACCCATGGGTCCAACAGTGCCGGCTCCTCTCACACTCGTGGTCTCTTGTTACAGTCACGTGATTCGGGAGATGGTATCATTCCCACTCTGACCATTGAGGGAGCAAATATTCAGAGGCAAAGTCACTTGACTAAGGTCACACAGCTAAGCAGCAGCACAGCTAGGATCTGAATCCAGCAAAGTTTCCAATATACCATAATTTACAGCCTGTGGGATTCAAGTGCAATTAAGAGACAAATAATAGGGGCTGGCCTTGTGGCATAGCAGGTAAACCTCTGCCTGCAACACCAACATCCCATATGGGCGATGGTTCCTGTCCCGGCCACTCCTCCTCCCACCCAGCTCCCTGCCAACGGCCTGGGAAAAGCAGCAGAATATGGTGCAAGTGTTTGAGTTCCTGCCACCCATGTGGGAAACCCGGATGAAGCTCCCAGCTTAGGCCTGGCCCAGCCTTGGCAGCTGCAGCCATCTGGGGAGTGAACCAGCGGACGAAAGATATGTATGTCTCTCCCTCTCTTTCTGTAAACCCTGACTTTCGAATAAAATTCGTTTTTTTTTTTTAAAGAGACAACTAATTCACAGATTTCATTGAGAGTAAAACTCTGGATCCTGCTTTTTTATTAACTCAAGGTAATACAGAAAGCAATTTCCAAATTACCAGCTTCAGGATAATTCTTAAACCTTTAAAGTACTCAGGAGGGACCAGGGTTGTGGCATAGCGGGTAAAGCCACTGCCTGCAGTGCCAGCATCCCATATGAGTGCCAGTTTGAGTCCCGGCTGCTCCACTTCCGATCCAGCTCTCTGCTGTGGCCTGGGAAAGCAGTAGAAGGCCTAAGTCCTTGGGTCCCTAAACTCACATGGGAGACCTGGAAGAAACTCCTGGCTCCTGGCTCCTAGCTTCGGATCAGCACAGCTCCAGCCATTGCGGCCAGTTGGGGAATGAATCAGTGGATGGAAGACTCCCTCTCTCTCTCTCTCTCTCTCTCTCCTCTCTCTCTCTCTCTGTGTAACTCAGACTTTCAAATAAATAAATTGATCTTAAAAAAAGAAAAGCTGACCACAACCGTAGGAGTAAAAAATAAAATAAAATAAAGTACTCAAGAGTCATGGGATCCCCCAAAATTGCAACGTGACACTGAGAGAGACGCCACCCGAGGTTCCACGTGGCGCTGAGGGACTCTGCACGTGAACCTTCGCTGTTGACAATGACCTGTCAGAAACGTGGCTCATCATGCCCTGGATCGAGGCCGCCGAGCAGGTCCCCAGTTGAACCTGCCTGGTTTCCTCAGACCCTGGGTACTGCGAGTGCCCACGTTTGACACAGCCTAAGCGCTTGGCTCCCTTTGGCAAGTGCAACTTTGACAAGAGAGCAAGAACATCTGCCCCTGCCAGGAACAGCGTGAGAGCTGCGAGACTTGAGCTGCTCAGAAGGGAGCCCCGCCTCCCCGCTCCCTGTGCTCCTGCCGCAGGTGAGTCACTGCCGTGCCAGCCGCCAAGTATTTTAAGCTGCAAGAACCCTAAGCCGGAACCAGCGGAGAAAGACGAGGGATGGTTGAAGGCCATTAGCGTGGAGGGTGTCTTGTTGTCATGGTGCTAGGAAAATCACTTCCATTTAGAGGCCCACTCACCAGCTGTTTTGCTGGAGCTTTTGCCACGGAGGCTGCTTGCTGGCCACTTCGACACGGGCGTGGAACACGGGTTGGCACACACACACACCTTTACAGCGGGTGCCTGTCGTACAAGGTTCGCATGGGTTGTCTCAGAGGTGTTTAAACAGCCACTGTGCCCTGTGGGTGACGACCCCGTTCCCCACGGATCAGCTTGCACAGTCAGGCAGTTGCCGGCTCACGGGACATCCCTGTGCATGTTGGAGCATTTCAGCAGCAGCGCGAGCCCACCTCAACCCCTGCTCCCCAGCTCAGGCTCAGCTTCTGGCTCCAGAAGAATCGGCACAGTTGCCTGCCCCTTGACTTTGCTCTCCCGGCTCAGGTCCTACATGCTTTGAGGTCTGCCAGGGGCTGGGGGTAGGGGAGGATGAGGCCCAGGAAATGACTAGAAGCCTGAAGGGTCAGCATTGCTGGGAAGAGGACCTCCCCTGAGGCTGTTGCTGGCTTCGGCACTGCAATGGCCCCTGTGGCGGCCCTGAAGGTGGGGGCGGGGGAGGGTGTTCATCCACTCTGGGAGGTCAGCTTAGGGCAGGAAAGTAGGCCCTGTCATGACCTTTGGCGGTGAACCACACTATAGGAGCCAACGGGACACACTGCTACCCATTCAGACGCCACACGGGGCTGGCTCCCCTCCCTCCTGATTTTCTCCTGGCTGCCCTTAGCCTATGGGGCGCCTGCACTGGTGGTCGGGCTGGAGACTACCTTAATACTTGCCTTGTCCTGAGTTCCCCTGATTAATTAAACTGCATGTGAATGTAGATCACAAGCAAGCTCTCCAGCTGTGCCTTGTGGTGTCCTCCCTCTGACTCCGACTGGGGGGCTTGCAGCAGGCCTATTTTCATTAAGGGCCCATGTGATTCAGTTGCAGCTGGTCCTGGGCCATACTTAGGAGAACTCTGGGGCAGAAACCAGCCTGCAAGCATGCGGGCTGTGTCTACTCTGAGGGATAAGTCACCTGATTTCTAAACTTGGCTTGGGGCTGAATTGTGTCCTCCCTACTAAATGCATATGTTGAAGCCCTGGCTCCCAGAACCTCACAATGTGACTGTATCTGAGGACAGGGCATGGACATGGGGACATTCGGGTGGGTCTCCATCCACATGACTGGTGTCCTTATAACAAGGAGAAATTTGGAGGGAGACACCAACACGCACAGACCTCTCTCTGTCTCTACCTCTCTCTGTAACAATTTCAAATAAACAAAATAAATCTTAAAAAAAAAAAAAAAAACACCAGGGAATGTGCATTTGACCTGCGGTTAAGAAGCCTGCATCCCGCATCAGTGTGGGTTCAAGTGCCAGCTCCAGACCTCGAGAGGCAGCAGTGATGGCTCAGGTAGCTGGGTTCCTGCCACATTCATAGAAGACCTGGATTGTGGGGCCGGTGCTGGGCACAGTGTGTTAAAGCCCCAGCCCTCAGCACCGGCATCCCATATGGGTGCTGCTTCAAGTCCTGGCTGCTCCACTTTCTGTTCAGCTCCCTGCTAACGCACCTGGGAAAGCAGTGGAAGATGGCCCAAGTCCTTGGGCCCCTGCACCCACACGGGAGACACAGAAGAAGCTCTTGGCTCCTGGCTTCAGATCAGCACAGCTCTGGCCATTGCAGCTGTTTGGGGAGTGAACCAGCAGATGGAAGATCTCTCTCTCTCTCTCTCTCTCTCTCTCTCTTTCTCTCCCACTTTCTGTCTGAAGTCTACCTCTCAAATAAATTAAGTAAAATCTTTAAAAATGAAAGAAAATATTTGTTGAATGAATGAATCTAAGCTTTCTTCCCTCTTCAGTGAGGCTACTCTGACATGTTAGGCCCAAGTGCCATGGCCACAAACAAGTTTAAGGATGCTTCCTTTTTGTGATAGCTCTTGTCAGTCACGTCCAACAAAAGGGGCCTAGGGTCATGAGACAGAGGACACAAAGTCAAGGTCTAGCTCAATGATTACCCAAGAGGTCCTAGGTCTTCTTCCTCCCTGGGTCTCAGGTGCCTCTGCTGCTCTGCCTGTGTCATTGGTGGTTACGAGCCCATGACACAAGAACAGGTGTGCAAGTTCTCTGAACCTAATAAGGTCTCATTATCATTACAGATAATTATGGACTGGTCATCACTGGTTTTGAATGCCTCAATATTGTTTCTTTCACCTGAGCCTACAAGGACCAACACTAGGTTTACCTCCCAACCCTGCTGCAGAAATTCCCTTCCTTGCGACTGCCAGGCACTGTCATCTGCTATGCCAGAATTTTCTGTCCCAAGTGGTGAATAACAAGTCACGGGGTGGGCACTTGACCTCAAGGTTAAGCCGCCAGCTAGGAAGCCTATATCCCATATCCAATCACCTGGGTTCCATATTCGGCTATACTCTGATGCCAGCTTCCTGCCAGTGCAGACCCTAGGAGGCAGCAGGTGATGGCTTAAGTTGTTGGGTCCCTGCCTCCTATGATGAAGACCTAGACTGAGTTCCCAGCTCCCAGATTTGGCTTAGCCTAGTCCTGGCCACTGTGGGCATTTGGGGAATGAACCAATGGATGAGCATTTCTCTCTCTCTCTCTCTCTCTCTCTCTCTCTCTCTCCTCCCTCTCCCCCACCTTGCAGTCTCTCAAAGAAATAAGTAAATAAAATTTCAACTCAGCAATTTATTTTATTTTTTTGAAAGTTTTTTTTTATTTGACAGACTTACAGAGAGACATATAGTCTTCCATCCTCTGGTTCACTCCCCAAATAGCAGCAATGGCCAGAACTGAGCCAATCCCAACCCAGGAGCCAAGGGCTTCTCCTGGGTCTCCCATGTGGGTGCAGTGGCCCAAAGACTTAGACCATTTTATGCTGCTTTCCCAGGAGCATTAGCAGGGAGCTGGACTGGAAGTGGAGCAGCCGGACTCAAACTGGCACCCATATGGGATTCTGGCACTGCAGACTGGGGCTTTAACCCACTGTGCCACAGTGCTGGCCCCGCAATTTCTTTTAAATGAAATAAAAATCCATGAAAAACTGGTTAAAATACCCGAGGCACTTGCTACCTGAGGCAGTCCCGTACCGGAAGGCACTGGGAGCAGAAACAGCAGGGTCTTCTCACTCAGAGGACTCTGCTCCTCCACAGCACCCTTGGGCCAGCCTGAGAGCCTTCATTCTGCCCAAAACAGGCCTGGATTGGGGGGGTGGGGTACAACTTGTTGGAGCAGCCATCCACTGGCCGGTAGAGTGCAGGCAGAGCCCCGCCTTGCCTCCAGGCCATTTCTTCCTTCACCATCAAGGCACTGGTCAATGGTGCTTGCTTCCTCTTGTATCCTGGTGCAGATGCTGTTGCTAGGGTAACTGGGTGAACACAAAACAGAAACAGCCCTTGGGGTCCTGCTGCCTCCACCTGTGTGTGCAGATACCTTCCCATCTCCACAGAGTCTGGCTCATAGATCCAGCCTCAGCACGTTCATTGGGCCTGAAGACAAACGCCTAAACTCTTCCTGGGCAGGTTTTAGATGAGATGTTGAAGATGGGGGCAGATGATGAGGGACTGAGCATGCCAGTGGTCAGGGGCTGTCCGAGGCCTGGGTTCTGGCTGCATTTCCTGGGTCCCCTAGGGACATCTGTACAAATAGAGGACTGGGGGCATGGCTTCAGCCCTGAGTTCTGCATCTTCAGATTTCCTGGTGTGCCCGAAGATGGCCCCTCCAAGCTTGCAGACATGAGCCTTTCTTCGGGAGCTAATGTGAGAGCATGTGGCTGCTTTCCTCAGTTCCTGGGATGAGCTGGCGAGTGTGTGCATTATCCCAGGCCTGCCACTCCCTAGCGGACCCTCCAGAGACGGCCCCAGAGAAGAGGGGAGAGGCCACGGCTTCACCAGGCAGATCGGCTGTACTGGCAGCTCAGAGGATGCTCGGGGCATGGAGAGGGCCCCAGTTCAGTCTGAACTGCAGGAAAGGAGGGGACTAGGGGCAGGGTCTGCACTCCCGGCCTCCAGCGGCCCCCAAAGGGAGCAAAGCTTCTTTACCTCTAAGGTTGGACTTCATTCTGGGACTCCCGGGTTTAGGGTCTCACTGCGGCTACATCCCCAATCCATCTGGGGTGTGGATCACAATGGGCAAGTCAGCCCTAGTCACTGGTTAGAGAGCTCTGACCTCCCAGGGTCTGGGAGCAGCCTGTGCCATGGCCAGGGGCTAAAGACTCAGACCCTGCCGCCCCTCTAGCTGACCACGCCCACAGCCACGTGCTGCCAGCTGCTCCCCACACTGGTCCTTGGCTCCTTGGCCTTGGTCCTTGGTCAGCTTTCATCACCCAGCTGCAGCTGCATTCTGGAAGATGCATTGCTTGCAAGTCCAGAACCCAGCTCATAGCGTCTGCGACCACAGAAAACACAGCTGACATCCCGGAAGCACTGGAGCGGGGGGCTCAGCTTCCACCACACCCCGGCCCCCACAGTCTCTACTCGCCCACTTAAGTCTCTCGGGCAGCATGCTGATTACACATGGCAGGAAGCATGGCTGCCGAAATCCCTCCTGCCAGCCCCCTCCACCCAGACTCATGGCTCTTGAATTTCACGTCTGTGGGGCTTCCGCCAATGATCCTGCTGGCTTTCAACCAGAAAATCCCAAGGACAGATTCTGAGTGGTTGGGCTTGGTCAGGTGCCTGCCACTGGACAGTGATGCATGGGATGGTGGGGGCAAGGCCACACTAGGCAGCTTTTGTAAGCCACAGATAGGTCCCAGAGGGCCGGCGGGGAGTGCTGGCCAGACACGCACCAGCTCTCACTGACATTCAAGGCCCAACTCAACAAGACCCTTCTCAAACGTCTTTTCAGCTCTACTCACACTGGAAATAGCACTCTGCTCCTTTCCACTCTCCAAGTTTTTTGTCTTTTTTTCTTTAAAAAAATCGACTTATTTTATTTGAGAGCGTGAGAAAGAGAACTTTTATTCACTGGTTCAGTCCCCAAGTACCCGCAATAGCAAGGGCTGAGCTAGGCTAAAGCCAGGAGCCAGGAATTCAATTCAGGTCTCCCACATGAGTGTCAGGGACCCAACTACTTGAGCCATTACTTGTTACCTCTCGAGGTGTGCAATAGCAGGGAACTGGAAGCGGAAATGAAGCCAGGATTCAAACCCAGGCGCTCTGATGTAGGATGTAGGTGTCCCAAGTGGAGTCTTAACCACTAGGTCAAATCACCACCTCCAGCATTTTCTTTTTTTTTTTTTTTTTATTTTAGATTTATTTTTTTATTTGAAAGTCAGAGTTACACAGAAAGAGCTCTTCCATTCGCTGGTTCACTCCCCAATTGGCCAAAACGGCCGGAACTGCACCCATATGAAGCCAGGAGCCAGGAGCGTCTTCCAGGTCTCCCATGCAGGTGCAGGGGCCCAAGCACTTGGGTCATCTTCTACTGCTCTCCCAGGCCACAGCAGTGAGCTGGATCGGAAGTGGAGCAGCTGGGACTCGAACTGGCGCCCATATGGGATGCCGGCACTGCAGGCAGTGGCTTCACCCATTACACTATGCGCCGGCCCCTCCAGCATTTTCACGTGTACCTTCCGGTGCACTTAACACCTGTTTACCATGCACTCACTTTTGAATAGCTTTTGTTATACACGGCGCTCATATGTGCTCAATGAAGGACACATAAATGAAAAGAAGACAATAAAAACTACCCATAAGGGGCTCTTGGGCCTCTGACACCCACATGAGAGACCAGAATGGAGTTCCTCCTGGCTTCAGTCTGGCCCAGATTTGGCCATGTGGGAAGTGAACTAGAGGATGGAAGATCTCTCTCTCTCTCTCTCTCTCTCTCTCTCTTTCTCTCTCTCTCTCTAATAAATAAATCTATCTTTAAAAAATACAACACTCATAAGGTTGCAACTGGAAGTAGTCACTGTTAGCACTGAGAGTGTTAGCAGTATTTAGATTCTTGTCTTTTTTCTCTGTTTGCATTCAGCTCTTTAAAAGCAAAGACCAAGTCTCATCTTCTCTCCAAGCACCAAGCCAGGGCTTCCCATACAACAGGAATTCCTCCATGCAGTTTAAAGAAGCAGGTGATACAGAAAGGAACAGATGAGCGAATGGGTCAGAGGAGACGTTCTCTCACCTGGAGGTTGTCCCAGAGGAGACGTCGAGTCCTCAGAGGGCACACGCACTCACCCCCTGCCGCCAGCCCTTCTGCAGCCATCGCTGCTCCCACCAGGGCGGTCAGTGCCAGGAAGTGAGCAGAACATAGCAAGCAGACCAGGCCAGACAACGACCATTAGTGGAAATGCAGAGGCCGCCACGCCGTCCCCACTGTGTGACTTGGAACTGTCAGCCGTGGCTTAAGGGAAACGAGGATTCACGGAAAGAGCCGAGTCAAGGTCACCACAGTGTGCAGTATTTTAGGCTCAGCAAGCGATCTGGCAAATCCGAAGTGCTTATGAATGGCTTCCAAGAAATCTGTTAGCAGTGCTGTGGACACGGCGTTCGTCCCCATGACTTGCCCCTCACTGGCTTGAAGATTATCATTGATTTATTCTGGAGCAGAAACAGCAGGATTCCACATCACATCTTGGAAGGCAGCCTGGGCAAAGGCAGAGAATTAACCACTCTTTTTTATTAATTCCAACACCACAACTCCCCATGGACCCATGCTGTAAATCACAGGCTCTCTTAACAGAAGTTTCTCTGTGTTTAACTGGAGCTAATGTGTACGGGGCAGGTCTTCATTCTTCATTATAAAGATAATCTCAAAATCACAAATATACATGAATCACGCACAAGTCTAGAATATGCGAGGTGTGAGAGGAGATGCAAAATAAACAGAACAGTCCATGTAAGTCATCCATGGGCGCATCAGACGTCTATGAGGCCTTCCCAGGGGCCAGCCACCGTGCTAGGCACTGGGTTTCATGGCTCCTTACAGTTTTGATCACTTTAAAAGTGAAAATACGGGGCTCAGGGAAGTTAAACAACTTATCAATTAACCCACAGACACATAGTTTGTAAGAACATTATGGGGGCCAGCACTGTGGTGTAGTGGGTAAAAGCCACTGCCTGTAGTGCCAGCATCCCACGTGGGCGCTGGTTTGAGACCCACCTGCTCCACTTCTGATCCAGTCCTCTGCTATTGCCTGGGAAAGCAGTGGAAGATGGCTCAAGTTCCTGGGCCCCTGCACCCACGTGGGAGATCCAGAGGAAGCTCCTGGCTCCTGGCTTCATATGGGTTCCATTTGTATGGCAGTTCCAGCCCTTGCAGCCAATTGGGAGTGAACCATCGGGTGGAAGACCTCTCTCTGCCTCTCCTTCTCTCTCTGTAACTCTGATTTGAAAAAAAAAAAAAAACCTGGGATTCTAGTAAAGGGAAAGAATCTGACAGCTTATTACTATTTTTATTATCATCATGGTGCCATTCATGCTGCCTTAAAAACACTCAGCCAACCCTTGCATGAGCCTCCATCTCACTAACCCAGAGCAAACCACAGCTCACACCAGAGGACCAGGAGAGGCATGTGTGCCCATTGAGTCTTACAGCAGAGGCAGCTACATGCAAAACACGGTGTCCACCAGCCCCTGCCCTGTACGAATCCACAGTGGTCTGTGGGTGCCTACTTCTACACAGTACCCAGCAAATGCCCATGGCCAACAGAGATGAGCTGGAGGACAGCAGATTTCTGTCCCTGGTCCACGTTTTCTTTCTGACTTCTATGTTTTTCCTTCTCAATCCAGTAGTGGCATTGGGTGACAAGAAGTTTACAGACCAGGGTTCAAATCAGCGCAACCTCTTGGAAGCAGTAGGAGACTGGGCTCCACTCTTAATGTCTCTGAGACTTCAGATTCCCTGACTCTGCAAAGAGCTCCCACTGGAGAGCGCACACGTGACACCACGCACACATAACCGCTCAACCCATAGTACCCCTGGTTATTGTCCAAGCTAAATTTCCCCCAAGAGGTAGAGTTGTGATTTTATAAGCCATGAACTAACAAATATGTCTTAAAGATGTGTTTTTTAGCAGGAAGACTGATAAAGGTGGTGAGAAAAAACTTCGCCCACCCCTTCCAGGAGAGATCTAGACAAGGCAAAGAGGCCCGTGGCAGAGAGCAATTGTCCGCAGCCAACTCAAGCATCTGAGAGATGGGGAGCCAGAGATAAAATTCCCCTGGGTGTCTGTAACCTTGGAGATAAAGGTGGTGAGTGTGGGTGGATGGAACCCCCCAGGAGACCCTGGCCGAGATCCCTGGCTCTGTGTCACAGGCAGCCCCTTTCCCTCCTGGTCTCCGTGCCCTGGCCCTTTCTGCCTCGGCCCCAGGGTTTACTTTGCATGCTCATGCAGGTGTTTTCCTCCCCATGAGCCTCAGAAGGCCCAAAGCATCCCCAGGTTATCTGTCCCTGGGTCCAGCCGGCTCCTCGCTGCAGGGTTCTGACCTCACCTCTGGCGTCAGCCTTATCAGGTGTGGACAGAACCGTCTCCCAGGCTCCAGGAGCTCGAAGCCCCAGATTCTCCCCACACCCAGGCCCCTTCCTCTGCAACGGGATGTGGGCCAGGCACCTCTGGGACCAAACACAGTGGTTACCTGCCAAATGGGGAGCGACCACAGAGGTCTGCAAGCAAAGGCCCGAGTCCCGGAATCAGGGAGGAAGGGTGAGGTTTACGTAAGTGTTGACAAGGAACAGAGCAGCCGCAGAGCTCAGCCAAGCAGCAGAGAGGAGGGAGGACGTGCAGGGGCCGGGGAGAGCCACAGCAACCCTTCCAGCCAGATCCTCACGGGATCACTCTCCGGCTGTGACAGGCACTCAGCCTCCCCTGGGAACTTGTTTTCTGCCAAGGATCATGGCGATCCAGCTGAGCTCAGCTTGTTGAGAAGTGGGTGCTGGAGTGACTGAAACAGGAAGTGAGAGCTCACGGGGAACCAGAGAGACAGGCGTGGACCCTTACTTAGCTCTGGGTGCAAATCTGCCACTCCATGTCTAGTCAAATCCCATAATCTGAAAATTCTCTGGTGTGCACCTCAGCTCTGCTGGTTTAGATTTGTCCATTTAAGTCCTCCTGTGGGCTAATGGCCTTGAGTGGGGTCAGTGTGAGTGGGTATTTAATGAGAATGCATTCTGCAAGGGCCCTTGTCCTGCTGGGGTCAGTTCCAGCCACATATGTGCTTGCCCTGGGACTCTTGCCTCCCCCGGGCTTGTTGGTGTCTGTCAGTAAAAGATAAGCCCTGGGCACTCTCTCTGGAATCACACTTGCGCTCTGCAGTGCTTTCACTTTCTAGGGCTTGGAAGGAAGGTGGGAGGGTAGAGCACCCTTCACTGGGAAGACCACCAACCAGAGCACCAGTGGGCACCGATTGGGCCAAGCCTCGCCCTGGGGAAGCAGAGAGAGCTGGGTGAGCCAGGCACAACCAGGAGGGTGAAGGCCTGGCACTGGCGGCTGTGTGCTTGTCAGGAAGAGAGACAAGGAGGAACACTGCGGCAGAGGCAGCTGGACAGCAGTGGCCCAGAGGAAAGGGGAGCTCGAGGAAGAGAAGGCGTTTCCTGCCCTCCAGGCTACACCCCACGCGCAGCCACACTGTGCCCCTACCTGTGCGCTACAGCCAGGATCTCACCCTTTGCAAATACGCCTGTGCAGAATGGTGGAGTCCAGGCTTGTGCACTGCAGCATTCCTTGCAACAGCAGAAGACTGGGAACAACCTGCACGCACAGCCAGAAAGGAGTGGTTAGATAGTAGATGGTCTGAACAGTGTGTCTTGGTCCATTTACTGATGCTATAACAGAATACCTGAGAGTGAGCTGTTTATAGAGAACAGAGGTTTATTTGGCACATGATTCTGGAGGCTGGCCACGGCTCTGCGCTGGGTGGGGGCCATCCTGCCTGTTCATGACAGACACGGCACGGCAGGAACGAGCAAGCCAGCCAGAGAGAGCTCATTTTAATAACAAAGCCATTCTCTGTAGAATCTACTAATCTGTGAATCTGTGAATGGATTAATCCGCTCATGAGGGCATGACACAACCACCTCCCAAAGATCTCACCGTTCAACTGCCATTAACAGATGACTGCGGATTCCATCTCCAACATATGAAGTTTAGGGGACACATCCTATAAAGGAAGCTCCTCAATCCCTTCTGGGGGTGATCTTCGCATTGCTCTGTCAGATAGATTCCTGTAGGTTCAGACTGTGTATTATTATTTGCTTATAAAAGGGGTGGGGGATGGGAGACCAGGATAAGTACCTGGCTCCTGCCTTCGGATCAGCGCGGTGCGCCGGCCGCAGCGCACCAGCCATGGTGGCCATTGGAGGGTGAACCAACGGCAAAGGAAGACCTTTCTCTCTGTCTCTCTCTCACTGTCCACTCTGCCTGTCAAAAAAAAAAAAAAAGAAAGAAAAGAAAAAAGGGGTGGGGGACACAGGGAGGACAATATACACGTATGTACTTGTTCATGTATACATTATTTGGGGTAGGATTCACACACTGGTGATACTGTAAGATTCTGTTATTCCAGGAAAGAGTGTCCTGGGCTGGTATGGGAGCTGAGGGCATGCTGTGTACCAAGGCAGCCCAAACTCAGCAGCTTCTAATAACCACCATGCGTGCTGCTCACATTTCTGTGGGCTGCTGGAATGGCAGGCCTCCCCACACATGCTCCCTTCTCCAGGAGGTCAGGCCCACCTTCTTGCTTCTAGAACATGGGAGTTCTTGGGAGCAAGAGAGCAAGCCCAGGGGCTGGTACTGTGGTGTATCAGATAAAGCCACTGCCTGCGATGCTGGCATCCTATCTAGGTGCCAGTTCGAGTTTTGCTGTTCCACTTCCAATCCAGCTCCCTGGTAATGCACTTGGAAAGCATCAGAGGATGCTTGGACCCCTGCATCCATGTGGGAGACCTGGAAGAAGCTCCTGGCTCCTGGCTTCAATCTGGCCCAGCCTTGGCCACTGCAGCCATTTGGGGAGTGAACCAGTGGATGGAAGATATCTCTCTCTCTCTGTCTCTCTGCCTGTTTCTCTGTCTCTCTCTCTAACTCTGCCTTTCAAATAAATAACATTTAAAAAGAAGAGAGCAATCCCAGAGCAAGAACACTTCCAAATCACATGACCAAGTCCAAATTCATGGTAGAGAAATTGATTCTGTTTCTGAATGGGAGCAGAACAGAATTGTGGCCATTTGTTTTTATCTACTACATGGTAGGATGGAGGTGTAGAGCAAGGGGTGGCTTTTCTCTTATTGACTTTTGTACCTTTTAAATTTGAGTCGCATCACTATCGCCTATTAGAAAATAGCTACGAATTAAAATAAAGTCTCTGAGATCAGCTTCGAAATAATTCAGTTGTTGAAGGAGATGTGTGGCGGTGACAGAGGCCAGACAAGACGGGAAATGAGGTGGTAACTGCTCAAGCTGGGTGGCAAATGCAGGTGGGCTTGTATCACTCTTCTCTTTTGAGGACGTTCACATTTCCTGCAACAGAATTTTGTTTTCTAAATAAGAAAATAGAAAGTACTAAAGTAAAAGCTCATACTTACCGAAACTTAACTTCGCTGGTAACTGCATCGGCTGCATCGTCTTTGGTCTTGGGAGTGTTTAGGGCTTAACTGCAGCTGTCTTGAGGGCACTGATACCAGAGGGTCACCCATGGGTGAGGCCCCAGGGCAGCCTGACACAGAGATGGGGAACTGTCAGAGAAAAAGGAGCTTTAGGTAGCTGCCTGCACAGTGTGGGCAGGACTAGCAGCTCAAAAATCCAAGGCTTGGCGTGGTGTTGGTGGAGTCAGAGGAGGTGCAAAATACTTGTCTTGGAAACACACACACACAGCCTGTGAGACTGGGGAACAACGGAGCCCTTCCAGAAGACACTTACAGGGCAGACAAGCGCATCTGAAGGCCAACACGCCAGTGTGCCACTTACCCCAAGTTTCTCTTTCCCCACTTTCGCTTACCTGTGGCCAACTGTAGTCTGAAAATACTCACGGAAAATTCCAGAAATAATCCCTAAGGTTTACATTGTCATTATGAGTAGCATGACAAAATCTCACTCTGTCCCACTCTAACCTGCCAACGATGTCAATCATTGCTTTGTCCAGCGGATTCACGCAGTCTAGGCTGTCCACACCCAGGCAGCTTGGAAACAGAAAGATCACATTCACACAACTTGCATTAAAATATAATGATGAAATTATTCTATCTTACTATCAGACACTGTTGCTAATCTATCTCTTCCTGGGCCTAATGTATAAATTATGATTTATTGTAGGTTTGTATAGGAAATACATATATAGGAAAAACTACAGTACTATAGGGTTTGGTCCTTTTCAGAGTTTCAGGCATTCACCGGGGATCTTGGAATGTACCCACCTAGGATAAGGTGGAGACACTTGAACTTGGGGAAGAGAAAAGTACACTTCCTTGCCTCTTCTCTCTTATCACTCAGGATGGCCACATGTGGCCCAGGCCTTAGTTCTAAGGGGGCCAATCTTGGCGTCACTTTGAAAATGCAAAGCACCTTAGGAGGGCCCTGCTGTGGGCCGAGGAGGAAATCCTTCACCATCTCTCCCCCGACACTGAGGTCCCAGCTACTCCGGAGAACTCTATCATTCTGTTCCAAAACATCTAGTAAGCATTTTACTATACCAGGGCCTGCGCTGTGGCACCGTGGGGTAAGCCGCCACATGTGATGCTGGCTTACCATATCAGAACAACAGTTTGAGTCCTGGTTGCTCCACTTTCAATCCAGTTCCTTGCTAATGTGCCTGGGAAAGCAGTGGAAGATGGCTCAAGTACTTGGGTCCTTGCCACCCACATGGAAGACCTGGATGGAGTTCCTGGCTCCTGGTTTTGGCCTGGCCCAGCCCTGACCATAGTGGCCATTTGGGGAGATGGAAGATTGATCTCTCTCTCTCTCTCTCTCTCTCTCTCTCTTTTAAATTAAAAAAAAAAAGTTTTACTAGAGATTGTGTCCTCTAAGCTCATGTTCAGTGCTCTGGAGGGTTCATCTTTGACGTGTGTGCCTGTGAATGCAGGTGTGTGCACCTGCGAATACTCCTGTGATGGCTACAAGGTGAGAGGAGTGATCATGGCACTTTCACAAGGTCCAGCTAAGCCCCCCACCCTCACTCCAGGACAGGCTGGGTGACTCTCCCTTTCTTTATGCCCTATGTCTGCTTCGACTGCCGAATTTTCACATTGTTTAGAACTGTTCAGTCATCACAGACTTAACATTTTAAAATTACTGTTACTTTAAAAAATATTTATTTATTTGAAAGGCAGGGCATCAGAAAGAGAGAGAGGTCTTCCTTCAGCTGATTCATTCCCCAAATGGCTGTCCCACCAGGGTTGGGCCAGCCTTAAGCAAGGAACCAAGAACTCCAGCCAGGTCTCCCACATGGGTAGCAGGGACCCAAGCACCTGGGCCACCTTCTGCTTCCTTCCCAGGCCCTTCAGCAGGGAGCTGGATCAGAAGCAGCACAGCTGGGGTGGAAACCAGCACTGCGATAGGTGATGCCAGTGTTACAGCAAAAGCTTAGCACTAGGCCACACTGCCAGCCCCCCTGTTAAGTTTTAAGTGTGGTAACAGTGGTTATATTTTGTTTCCTCCCTTTATTGAAGTACAATATATATCCTCAAAGGTAAACAAATCAAATGCATAACAACTGAAGAATTTTTTTAAGTTTTATTATTTTTTAAGATTTATTTATTTATTTATTTGAAAAGCAGAGTTTCAGAGAGGCAGAATTTCAGAGAGAGAGAGGTCTTCCATCCACTGGTTCACTCCCCAGATGGCTGCAATGGCCATAGCTGCGCTGATCCAAAGCCAGGAGCCAGGAAATTCTTCCGGGTCTCCCACATGGGTGCAGGGGTCCAAGGACTTGGGCCATCATCTACTGCTTTCCCAGGATATAGCAGAGAGCTGGATCAGAAGTGCAGCAGCCAGGATTCAAACTGGAGCCCATGTGGGTTGCCACTGTCACAGTGCCGACTCCAGTACTTCTGTTTTTTAGTAATCCATTCTAAAATCTGTACAGTTGAAACATTATGTCTTGGGTTTGTTTGCAAATAATCTGGAGTTAGGAGAAGATATCATTTAAACCAAAGTTGTTACAAATTATTGAAGCTGGATGATGCTTGCATAAGGGTTCAATGCATTTTTCTCTAATTTAAAATTTTTGATTAAAATTTTAAAACAATCATTAAGAAGCCCAGGCTTTAACTCACCCCATGACTCTGGGGCTCATGCTAGGAGCTAAAGCTAAGCAGTGGAGTGAAACTCTCTTTCTGGTGTATTACTTGCTAATTAAGAATCTGTGGTCTAATAGATTTAACTTGTAAACAATTTCTCTTTAACGAGTGTTCATGTGCTGTCTCCTCTGTGTCACTGAGAGCGCCCTTCAGTGCTAGGTTGTCCTTACAGCTGTATCTTCCAAGTCTGGGACAGTGCCTGGCACACAGTAGGTCCTCACAACTGTCTGCCAAGCAGACAAATGCTTGAACGTTCTATCTTATCCAATGCAAGAGCAAACACAGCACCAGAGCGGCACAGGCACCCTGCACTGCTCCCCAGCTGAAGTTGAAATCAACACCACCAACTTCTGCTTTGTATTTGCTTCCAGTAAGTTACTAAAATCTTAAACTATCGGGATTGAAAGGGACATAAAGGTTACTTTGCACAACTGCTTGTGTTACAGACGAGGACAACTAAGATCCAGTGAAGAGTGTGACCTCTTCAAGGTTACACAGCGTGCAGGGACACAGCCAAAGCTGGCGCTCGGGTCCTAGAGCCTCGCTGGCCTGTTTGCTATGCCATCCAGCTCTCTGGCTGTTACCCAACACACACCCGCGATCCTGTTCTCACAGGTAGAGAAAGGGAACCTCAAAGAGGTGAATGAATATAGCTTTTCCAAGGTCTTGGATCTTTGTGATACCACAGCTCGCTTGCTCTCTCTCTCTCTCTCTCTCTTTTAAGATTATTTATTTTGAAAGGCAAAGTTACAGAGAGGCAGAGGCAGAGAGAGAGAGAGAGAGAGAGAAGGAGGGGGGTCTTCCATCCACTGGTTTACTCCCCAAATGGCTGCAACAGCCGGAGCTGGGCAGATCCGAAGCCAGGAGCATTACCAACATGGACATTACCAACATGGAAAATACTGTTCTTAAAAGAGCTTTGTAGGGCTGCTGCCTGAAGTGCTGGCATCCCATATGGGCACTAGTTCAAGTCCCAGCTGCTCCACTTCCCATCCAGCTCTCTGCTATGGCCTGGGAAAGCAGTAGATGATTTCCTGAGTCCTTGGACCCCTGTACCCACGTGGGATACCTGGAAGAATTTCCTGGCTCCTGTTCTGATCGGCACAGCTCCAGCCATTGCAGCCATCTAGGGAGTTAACCAGCAGATGGAAGATCTCTCTTTCTCTCTCTCTCTCTCTTGCTGCCTCTGCCTCTGTAACTCTGCCTTCTAAATAAATAAATAAATCTCAAAAAAAGGGGGGGGGGGCTATGGGGAGGGGCACAGTGGTACTGTGGGTTTGGGACATCTGTATCCCATATCTGAGTGCCACTTCCACTACCAGCTTCTCTGTTTCTAATCCATCTTCTTGCTAATGTTCCTGACACCGCAGCAGATGATGGTCCAGGAATTTGGGCTCCTGCCACCCCAGTGGGAGACCCAGATGGAGCTCCCAGCTCCTCTCCTGGATTTGGCCTGGCCCAGCCCTGGCTATTGTGGCCATTTGGGAGTGAATCTATGGATGGAGGATCTGTCTGTCTCTCTTTCTCTTGTTCTTTCAAATAAATAAATTTTAAAAAGGGGCGGTGGGGGGGGGGGGGCTTTGGAGGCTAGAGTTGTGGTATAGGGAGTTAAGCTACCACCTGTGATGCCAGCATCCCATTTGTGCGCAGGTTTGAGTCCCAGCTGCTCCACTTCCAATCCAGCTCCTTGCTAACATGCCTGAGAAAGCAGCAGAGGATGGCCAAGGTACTTGGGTCCCTGCATCCATATGGGAGACACAGAAGAAGCTCCTGGTTCCTGGCTTCAGTCTGGCCTGCATCTAGCCATTGTGGCCATTTGGGAAGTGGATCAGTGGATAGAAGGTCTCTCTCTTTCTGTGTCTCCCTCATTCTCTAAACTCTGTCTTTAAGATAAATAAATAAATAAATCTTTTTTAAAAAAGGGGGAGGACTTTGGGGTGCATATTTTTTAGAGGTGAACTCTCTCAAGTGTCTGAAATATGAGTCAGTTTTTAAAACTTCATCTGTATCTAGCTTGTAGAAATAAAGGAACTGTATAAAATCAGGTATAACACAAGCCCGGGTCCCCAGTGCTCTCCGTATATGCCACAAGGTCGTTATCAACACGTTCCAGCCATAGAGCAAATCAAAGACAACACAAGAGTGGAAGTAAATAAATAAAGCATTTTACAACATTCTGTTTAAAAAATTATGCTGGTAAAAAAAGTGTTTTTTTATTTAAAATGAGATGGTAAGTATTCCTTGGCAGTATAAGTACAGTGGCTTTTTGTAGAATTCGTGTTTTGGGCTTTTCCAAGCAAAGGTATTTGCAGCTTTGTCCAGTGCCTCTTTTAAGCATCTTGTGACACTTCCATCCCCCTTCCTAACAGGGTTGCAGGATTTCTTTGCTGGTAAGAGGATTACTTAGACGATGCCCTTTCTAGAACTCAGAAGATTCCGTGAATAGCAGGAAGAGCAAACAAGAGATGTCAAGGAGAGAGGTGACGAGCAAGGGTTGCACTCCAGAGAAGCTCTCTGGGCAAGGACGGGCCCAGAATGTTCTTAGCCGACACTCATATGGCTGGGGCTGGGGAAGCAGGGTCCTGGGCTCCATTTTCACAGGCAGTAGAGGAGTTAGCCTGCAGCCATCCGTCAAGGGTTAAGCTTTTAGCCCGAGAACTCTGGGTGAGTCAGGGCCAGAGACTGGTAGAGAAATGAGACACCTTATCTCTAATCAGCCCTGCCTCAAAATAGCTCTGTCTTCCCTCAGGCGGAGACTCATCAACCCAGCACAGCACAGTGCAGTGCAGTGCATGGGGGTGCCTGGGCTCCACTTAATCAGAAAGTCAATGAGTATACTTTATTCATCTGGCACAAAGTTAGCTCTCCATGGGTGGAGCAATGCATAATTTAGCAACCCTCAAGACAGCTTGCATAGAATCAGGATGTTCTAGCCAGGAAGGACCTTAGCACTTACCTGAACCAACCCTTCACGTTACA